TTCATGCCGTTATTAATTAGTCGCGAACAAGATGAGGAAATGTACAATATCTTCAAAGTTGTTGAAGGGGTGAGGGATCTGAATATGCTAGTCTCAGAAAGTGAAGTCAAAGGTTCATTCCAATAAAAGTAATCCAGAGTCAAACAGAGAGGAAAATAAAGAATAATTAAGGAGAACTTGTGAGCTCCTGGTGTGAGACCAAAAATTTCAATTCTTCAATGGAATCGATCAAAAAACATAAACATTTTGTTCAGCCAACCTCTGAAACAGTCATTTGGTTCAGGCTTCTTTGATAGGCATGCATCCTTTTGCAGGGAATTCGAATGACATATCTGACCTGCATCCTCCTTTGACTTCTTGAAGAATGCATACTCAGAGGTTTTTGGTTGATTTGCATCTATATTTTGCATCAGAGGCCAATTAATTAAGCATAAATGCCAGGCAATTTAATTCTAACAATAATAAAAATTTGAAAAATATTAAGTCTATGAATAACCAATACCGCGTGTACCAACTTATACCAGCTGAGGATGAGATAGAAAACCTTACATGTCGTATCCTCTTTTCTTCCTACAGGCATGGGAGAAGTTTCTATTCTGCATGTTGTAGAGGTATCTGCATCCTTAGCTGTAAACTTCACTTTTTTCTGGCAACCAAAACCTAGAGGGGAAAAGGAAAAAGATTTCTAATATAGAGGCAAACAAATGAATTTCCTGCCAAATATAAAATACTTGGGGGGAAAAAAAGTAATTAACAAATGCAGAAATATGCTGCACTTAGTGCCGATAGGAAAGTTAACTCCATAGTTTTGCATGGGCATTGTAAACTGTGAATCAATAACCTAATGATCAATCAGATGAACACTTCTTTAAGAGAAGCTTTGTTCATGTGTAAGGTTTTGGCATTCCAAATCAATATTACAAAGAATTATGGGGGAAAAAAACAGTGTCTTCCTCAGATAACTTAGGAACTCAACTAAGAGATTTGGCGGAACTGCCATGAGTCTTGGAGTTCCGAGCTCTATGCAATCGTTTCCCTCTAGAGTTTCTATCGAGGAGTCGATCGCTGGGAACAATCGAAAAGGTCCTTTTGTTCATTGTATTAGTGGGACCGCTCGCTTGGCTTGATTCTGAAAAGTGGTAAAGAATAGGATCCTTCGGAACCAGAAAATTTCATGGCGGTTATGAACCAAAAGCGAGAGGGCGAATGAAGAAGACTGGGCGCCAAAGAGAGAGGTTTGCTGACGTCGGATACGATTCTGGAACTTGGGTGGATTGTGGGCCGGCCACTGTGTCTGCGAGCTCATTACATTTGTTCCTTGGTTTCGCTGCGGGCTCATAATATTATTATTAATTTTCATTATAATTAAATTACTACTCCCTCCGTTCTTTATTACAAGAGACGAATAACCGAATTACGTTGATAAAAAAATAGTTAAAATTAGTTAAGAACAATCAATGTGTAAAAAGCATAATTTTTTTCCCAAAAAGACCCTCATTAATAAGGAGAGAGAGTATGAGAGAGAATAATGGTAAATTATTCAAAGAAAGAGAAGTGGGAAGGAAAGAGAGTGTGAGTTGGAGACAATAAATATGGGTTAAATAAGAAATTAACATAAAAAAATAGAGACAACCTTTAAGTGTCTCTTATATATAGAAACATGTTATAAGCATCAAATGTCTCTTATAATAAGGAACGGAGGGAGTACGTACCAACCGCCAACCGTAAAGGGGGTTTGATAATGATTTTAATATAAAAGATATATATTTTTTGCCAACGTTTAATATAAAACATATACTCCTTTGTTCTATTATAAGATGCTTTTAACATATTTTATACAGATAAAAAAATTTTAAACTTTATTACCTCTTATTAAAGTATAACAAGTTTTGTACCATGCCCCCCATTCAATATATACACACAAAAATAACCATATACCCCTCTGGTCTTATTTATCGAATAGAAAGAGAAATTTTTTGGTTCTATTTATAGGCTACTGGGAGAAATTTTTTGTATGAATATATAATTTTACTCTTTATTTATTACTTTGTTGACTTTGTTTATATGAGATATAATATATATTAAATAGGGATAAAATTGAAAAGTTGTTGAATTTTAAATGATACTCCCTCCGTTCTTTATTATAAGAGACATTTGATGCTTATGGCATGTTCCTATATATAAGAGACACTTACAAGTTGTCTCTACTTTTTTGTGTTGATTTACTATTTTATCCATATTATTATCTCCAACTCATACACTCTCTCCCTCCCACTTCTTTTCTTTTAATAATTAATTGTTCTCTCTCATGCTCTCTCTCCTATTAATGAGGGAATTTTTAGAAAAAAAAAAAATTATACTTTTTACACATTAATTGTTCTTAACTAATTTTAACTATTTTTTTTATCAACGTACTTTGGTTATTTGTCTCTTATAATAAGGAACGGAGGGAGTAGTTAATAAAGTTTAAAATTTTCCTTGATTTGTGTGAAACATATTAGAAGTAACTTATAAATAGAATCAGATAAGTACATTATAATAAATGAATGATGAAATAATATATTCATGCTAAAATTTTAATGAAGTAATTTATAAACAGAATTAAAAAAAAAACTTTCTTTTTTTAATTATTTCATGGAAATTTAAAACCTTATCTTTTTTGTTAAAAAAACCCCCACCTTTAGCCTCCCCGCTTTTGCCACTTAAGTATATCTTAATTGATTTTTTGCCGGTGAAAGTGATAATTGACTTGATATTTAGGGTATTGCCAAAAATAGGTTCAGTAGAGATGAGGTGGGACCGGTAAACCACGGTGTCGGAATCGAATCTCACCCACAATCGGCCAATTTGATTTAAATTGATTTGTTACAGATAGTTATCTGGGAGGCCATTTATTGCCATAATTGTTAGCAAGCCAAGTATTCTTGCTCTTCATTTAATGCCTTTCGCAAATGGTTCTTTTAATGGATTGGTACCACCGGTCAATTCTCGCCTATATCTCCCACCCATGGCGCGCAGCCCAATAAAACTAAACAGTTTCTAAGTGTCTCTTTTTTTTTTTGGATTACCATCCGGTATCCCATGAGAAATAGGCGTCTTTTCAACCGTGACAAGTCCAGACTATCGAATTCGGGAGCTGCAAGGATTCATACGGACGGGCCCCCACCCTTGGAGTGCTGCGTTCCCACGTCTCGATCCCGAGATCCGTGGTTAAGCTAGGACGAAACCCCAGTCAGTCGACCTAACAGTTTCTAAGTGTCTCTTAGATGTAAGCCGTGAATTTAAATTTTTCATGAAGAATATAAAAATACAAGTTCAGACAACAACAAAAGAAAAACATAAAAATATTTTGTATATATAACTAACTGTAAAAATGGTTAGCCAGTTCATAAACAATGAAAGCAGTAATCATGGGTAAGGGGTGTTCACGGGACTGATATAAGACTGTCCTGGTGAACAGTGACGGGACGGGATTTTTGTTCTACGTCCCATCTTGTCCTGGGAGTGTCCCATCCGAAAGGAACTGGGAAGGGACGGTGACGTCCTGTCCCTTTTTTTTTCTCCTTTCAATTCTGGGCCTTTAGTCAAAATATGGGGCTTGTCATTTTGATTAAAATTTCATCTTGTTTCTTTTTTTTTTTTCAGGCCTAACAGATTGCTTTGAGCCAAAAACAATAATTTGGGCATTTGAAAATAGACAATACTTATAATTATTTGTAACAAATTAGACACTTCATTAATTAAAATTGATTTAACAAGACCTCAACCTGACACACAGATGGAGAAGATGCAAAGATTAAATGCTAAAATTGTAATAGCATCTGTCCGTCTTTCCTGATCTGTCAGTTAACTAACCAATTCATACGATGTGGGGATAGTTTAAAGCAAAGCCAAGACAGAATCACAATTCATGGCGATGGGCTCACGGGGACAGAGCTGGCGATTGAGGGGAGAGACAGGGTAAGAAGACGCAATCAGAGACAATCAAAGATAGCAGAGCAACGGCAATAACAGGAACGAGCTTACTTCACGGCAACTCGACGGCAGGCAAGAGAGTGAGCAGCGAACACGACACGGGGAGAATACAAGGGCAAGAATCACGGCGACACAATGAGTATTCACGGAGCAGAGCGAAGGCAAGAAGGATAATGCAGGCATGTAGCTGCAACGACGATGACAGTAGGGACGTTCACGACAATCAGTAGCTAGAGAGAAGGAGTCGCAAAAGGAGTGATGGAGGTGAGTATCTAAAGCCTAGACTGAAAGGGAGATGGATTGGACTGATAATAGATCAGGGCATCTATAAAATTCTTTGTATTTTATTTACTTGTCATATTTGCAATTTTTTTTTAAATTATATACCCCGGGACAGGACAACCCTGTCTCGCATGCCGTCCTGTCCCGCACAGCATCCCATTTAGTCCCGAACTTGTCTTATCCTGAAATTTTTTTTGTCCCGTCCTGTCCCGTCCCAAAGTGATCGAGACCAGGACGGGACGATTTGAACACTCCTAGTCATAGGTCATGGCGCCATTAATAACTTCTTTTTTTCTTTTTCAAAATGCAATGGTTTTTCCTTTCTTTTTCTTTTTTCCATATTCATTTTTTTTAATTTTTAATTTTTGAAAAAAGTTAAAGCATGCCTAACAGTGAGTACTGACATATAATTATTTTGACATTATATATTTATAATATTATATTAGCATTTTTTTTATTTATGGATTTTTCAAAATAGCTTTTAATATTTGTATTGATAATAGATTTAGAAATAAAATAAGGCGTTCATATCTTTAGCATATCAAGGGTAACAAATTGTAAAAAAGAATTAACAAATTGCTAGAATAACTTCCAAGTGCATGAACAATAAATTCTGAAATAAAATATATACAAGCACATTTTTTATAATATCATGTTAACATATTTTTTATTTATGTAGCATTCTAATTATTTTTTAATATTAAATAAAATTTAAATCTGTTTACTTATATCAATTAAGGCAATTGAGATTGAATTGAGGTTACGCCTTCCTGTCAGGGGCAGCGGGTGAGTGGCGCGTGGGGAGGGCGTGGCCCCTAGGCTTATTTACACTTGGAAGATTGGGAACTTCAGTGTATTTTGGACAGTACTTTTTGGCACTTTATGTGGTCATGTGGGAGCACTTCTTTTTTTCCTCTACTTTTTTGTTAATAATAATATTACTCCAATCAATTTTTATCATAAACAGTTATAATCCAGCTATAAATAAATAAAAAATGTATTTTTTAAATAAAGGTCCTCATTTATTTTATAACGATACTTAATAAATTGACTAATGACTTATTAATTGATTTGTAACTAATTTATTAATGACAGTATAACAAAGTTTAATAAATTAGTTAAATAAAAATATTTTTGCTTAAATAAAAGGTACTTATTTCTAATAAACAGAAAATTTTCTAATAAAAAGCACTTATGAAGTGCATAGTCCCAAAAAATCGCAGGGCTAAAATCTAGTTTTCAAAAAAAGGAAAGAAAAAAAAACCGAAATGTACACTAAATGGAATGTGGCGGGGGAGGAGTTGGAACAGCATTATCCAGAGGAATGGGATATGGTGCAAAGGTGGCAGCAGGATAGTGGAGGAAACGATTTCTACTGGCTCACGGGGATCAGATAATTCGCTAAATAATCGCCAATTTTTAGCTCACTCAAAGCCTCTCGATCTTCATTCCTGTCCTTTTCCTTCTATTAATTTTTCTGCCTCGCTTTGGAAAGATTTCAATTCTCGTTCTAAGATACCCAGAGAGGGAGAAGTCATTCATGGCCACCTGCAACATGGCATCGGCTGCTTCCGGATTCGTGTTGGCGCCTTCTGTTGTTGGAGGCAGCTCAACTTCTGCCTCCAGGAGCTCTATGGTGGCATTCTCTTCAAAGAACAACCACTCGAGGCTGGTGGTTAGGGCTGCCGATGAGGCTGCGGCGGCGGCGCCTCCTCCTCCTGCCCCCGATGCTCCTGCGGCGGAAGCGGAAGCTCCCAAACCCAAGCCGCCACCTATTGGCCCCAAGAGAGGAGCTAAGGTTTGTTCTTTTCTTTCAGTTCTTCCTTTTTTATTTAATTTAGAGACCGTGTCCTGAGTTAGATCATTATTGATTAGACTGTTTAAATAACTCGGTTTACAATATTAGATTATGAAATTAGAGGGATTTGAATCTGCCACGTCTGAGCCAAGCCTTTGTAATTTGATAGACCACTTTATGTAGGCAATTTATCCTTTTGTAGTTGTAATATGCTCACATACAACGGCAGTGTGAGAGAATAGACAGAGGAAGACATCCGCACGGCGAAGGCAAGTTTTGTATGCTATGCAGTTTAAGCTTAATTTCATTGGCAGCCTAGTTATAGTACACAGACTTGAAAAGTGAATCTCTTTTTATGCTTAGTATTTGTCAGTTAGACACTTATAATTGAACTAGTAAAAAGTTGAAATTAGTGTATGGAGCAACATAGTGGGGAAAAAATCAACTCTTTATTTTCACTCTCATCATTATGAGGGAAATTAGTTTATGTTATTGGTAGCCTCACAAGGAAAAAGGAATTACATACAAACATTCCAAATTCTAGTGTGTTGCTGTGTCTGTTTCAATATTCATGTTTCTTATCTGTGAAATATAAAGTGGAACTTGAAATGTTGTGAACGAAGAGGATCATCTAACATATGTTTAATTTGATGGTCGTAAAATACGATTGACAGGTTAAGATTCTTAGGAAGGAATCCTACTGGTACAAGGGCGTTGGTTCTGTTGTTGCTGTTGATCAGGTGAGATTTCTAGCACATGTGTGTGTGTGTGTGTGTGTGTGGGGAACATGATTCCGCGGAAACCGAAGTTAATTGTGTTTGGCTTGATATTTGTGTGTTGTGTAGGACCCCAAGACTCGCTACCCAGTCGTGGTCCGATTCAACAAAGTTAACTATGCCAATGTATCCACAAACAACTACGCCCTGGATGAGATTGAGGAAGTCAAATGAGTGAATAGTCGTCCAATGTAATTGTAATTTTAAAGATGCTTGTAGCTCGAGGATTTTCTTGTCACAAAGATGAATCTGTATTGTATTTTCTCTCTCAAATTCATCGTTTTAGCTCCCTATGCCAGTTCCGTGTGCAATTGCTCATAAATTACTCAGCTTTTCCATTGGAAGCAGTGATCAGTAACACTTACAATGCGACCATCCTGAGGCCAGAGAAGTAGGAATGAATATGCCAACCGAGTAATGGCCTTAAAACAATTGACATGACTAGAAATTAAAAGCGGGAGTCCTTTTTAACATAATGCCTCGAGTTGAGTTCATGTACTTAGGGTGTGTTTGGGTGACACCCCAAATCATGGTTTGGGGAATAAATCACCCAAACTCCTCTTCAAGAACCAAAACCATGGTAAACCATGGTTTTGACTCCAAACCATGGTTTTGGAAAAAGCAAAATTTTTTTGCTTTTGGAGAAAAAAGGAGAGTGCGAGGGCCTATATGATATGTATCTTGTTATTTTTTTATAAACATATTTTTTATAAATATATTTAATCTTATATTTTATAAATATATATACACTTAATTATTTTATTATTAATTATCTTATGATTATTAATTATGTTGATAAAAAACATTATTAACAATTTTATTTCTTCAAATTAAAATATATCATAAAATCTATTTTTTCTGTAATTATCATATTAACTTAGTTTTTTTTTTAGTAATTTGTATATAAAAAAGTACTTCTGATAACAACTATCCAAACACTCTCACTTCTTAGAATCACTTTTTTACAAAATCTATTCTTCACAGAATCTATTTTTCCCAGAATCTATTCTCCAGAATCACTTTTCCAAACCACGGTTTGGTTTCATCCAAACACACCCTAGTAAATAAAACATGATAAAAGCAAAGATCATTCAGAAAAAATTTGCCCATATCCATGAACGCTCAATGAAGTTCCAATGGGAGGCTACCGCGAGAAGATAGACACACGTTTGTACAACATAACTGAGTATGGTCAGCTCTCCTGATGTTGTTATGCATTTAAGCATGACCTTGGATTCAATTCATAAGAAGATTACATTAAAGACTCGATGAGGAGTAGTGGATTTTCCACTTTAAGAAGATGCCTAACGGGAAAAAATTACGAGAGATCAACTTTAACACTATTTCTTCTAAAGAACTCTCCCATCCATGCCATCTAGTAAGCCAGACCAAATTCCCTTTGCTGGTGGTAATTGCGCAACCAAAGCTTTCCATGGAGGATACCCAACCCCGCTTCCTCGTACTCGGCCATCTAGCCGCAGAGATAGATACCTGTTAAATGTAAGAAATAACCATAGCATCAAATCAACTGCAATGTTCATGATAACGAATCCCAAGATATGACTTTATATACCAGGTGCTGCCTCCTTCCAGTTACAATATAACTTCACAGTGACTGCCAAGTTTTATTTCTAGGTTTTAGCAGAAAAGTAAGATGCCACTAACTCCTTACATACCAAGACATGGAGAATAATAATAATACTTACACTGGAGACTCAGAGGATACACCTGCCAACTTCTTTTGTTCTTCCAACCACCTATTGAGATTATGAGGCAAAGAAATTATGATGTCAAAGAAATTGTATCACATTTATTTTTGGTAAAATGAATCGCATATTCATTTATTTTCATGATTAACATACTCGAACCACTCAGTGATGAAAACGGGAGCAAGCTGCCAGAGCCTCTTCCTTTTGGTGGTGACCTGCTTCTGCTCCTCACTCTCATCAAACTTCAAAGAAGGTGAATCCCCATCGGTCACCAAGGGCACAACAAGTACCCCTCTCTCTAGGAGGCTTTCTGTGAAAGGCTCACTACTGTTAAAGGACTCCGTTATGAATGATGCTGGGCCTGCACATATTACCAGACGGGCAATCCCTCTCAATGTGCTGACCGGAATGGTCTTCTTCTCATTCACTCGGAGCTTAAGATTTGATAGGCTTTCTTCTCTCGAGAGTCGAGACAGCTGTGCATTTTTTGCCTTGTTCTCTCTGTAGTACAAGAAAGCAAATATAGACACCGCTCCGAGGTCAATGGCGAGGTCTTTCAGAATCACTGGAACTTCAGGTGCTCTTGATGGATTACCCAGTGCACCGATAAGTTGTGTGATTGTTATCAATCCCCCTAGAGATGCGCTTGCAACAAAAGCTATATAAAAGAACATCCTAACTGACCGAAAGGGAGACAGAACTTCACTCCTTATCCTGGCTGTAGAGCTGAAGAATAAATACGATTAATGATGAAGCATCACTGGCAAACAGAACCTGATGATTGAAGCATCGCGTAAAAATGAAAATCCATATGAAAAAGAAACTCAATGTGAACTAGACAAAAGCCTAAAAGCAGGCAGAACAAAAATTAAAAAGAAAAGACTCATTTCATCATTTTACTTGTCATATTAGCAAGTACACACAAAGATGTCTCATTTGACATTCGACGCTCTAGGGGTCGCATCAAGAAGAAAATTGCATACTAATGTTCATAGAGCCAGCTAATGGTAATGTAAGCACTATATATTTAAGCATAAGTCGAAAATACTCCATTTTCAAACTGAAGTAGCTTAAAACCAATGCATTGCCAGAAAAATTCATTGTTTGATTGCTAGCTGATCATTCGAACCAGGAACTAAGCATTAGGAGCATTAGGCACAAATTAAAGTATAAATTCAACTAACCAATGTTCCAGCTGATGCCCACAACACAAAAAAACCAAACATCAGTAAAACCCGAAGAGGTCATTGCTGGTAAAAATAGGACTACGGGAGAGAAAGATGGAACGTCACCTAACGTCAGAGGAAGGAGACGGTTTATTTGCGGAAGAAAAAGAGACAACAGTAAGAACGGAAGCTCTACTTCGCGCTCTTATCCTTCGCTGAAGGCGAACCCTGGCGCGTATAGAAGAGTAGAGAGGCTCTCCATACCGATGGCCACAGTGCAAAAAATTACTAGATCGATTAATGAGACAGTTAGGTGGTGTTTGAAGATTGAAGCAGAGAGTGGATGAATTGTGAGTTGCAGAAGCCATGGTGGCTAGCAGAGCAGGTTTGGAGGAAGAGGAATTGCCATTTCAATGCGTGGCTGCGAACCATGGGGTTATTGTAACTCCATCATTGTGAGGTACCCCATCTGGTTATCTTGGATGATGCTAAAATCGCCACGCTTCCGCTTGGCCGTTACCCGACCCGCCACTCGAAATAATGTGATTATTCTTTAATGCGATTTTTATAGCATTTTAATTAGTTTCTTTTTATACATAACATATTCATATGCATTAATATTGGGCTAAATTTTAATTTTCATAAACAGAATCTAAAATAACAGTTATAATTCTAGACAAAAAATAATATTACTTTTTTGCCAGCAATAATAAAATATTAAATAATAATAGAATCAACTTTAGAATTAGACCTTTTTTTTAAAACTAAGTTATTTAATTTAATTAAGCAAATTTACGAATTCCTTTGTGTTGAATAATTTTTATTTTTTAAGCCAATTGAATAGTTTTTGTTAATGGTACTTAAAAAAAAAAATTGATTTAAACGTGAGTGAAGTGAATGAATCCATACACCAACCCTCAGATGATCCCATCATTAAACGCTAGAGAGCAACCTTTGCTATTTCCTTCCCATCTTCTTCCCTTCTCTTTCTTTTTTATAATTATAAGATCAATATTTAAATGGTTTAGATTTATTTTTTATAAAATTATTATCATAATGTTCAATTATAAATTAAAAATAATTAATTAAATGTAAATGGCTAAACTTTGATATGAGTAATATAATACTACAATAAAAAAATATTTTGTACAAAATCAAATCTGAACTGTTCAAATATTGATTTTTTAACTAGAGGAGAAAAAAGGATGGGAAGGAAATATGAGAGGCTCTTCTCTAAATCAAACACAAGAAACACAAACAGCAAAATTCTATCAAAAAACTGTACAATTAATCATAATAATATAAAAATAATAATAAATAAGAGACAAAATGTACGACGGTTTACCTCCACCAACCAAGTCTTTAGAGTATTTCGGAAGGAACAAGTCCTTCTTCTTCTTTTTTTCTTTTTTTTTTTGGCCAAGGAATAAGTCCTTCTTGAGAAGACTGCCCTCTCCCATTCTAATGGTGATTAATATACTAATTAATGTCATGTAATTACGTGGTTTAATGATCGAGCACGTAGCAACCAGCCCTCGGGCCAAAATTAAAAACGTTTCACTCTCCGATACCCCCTGAAAATCAAGCAGCCAGCATGCAAATTCATCAATTCCCAGGTCCCACGGGAAAAACGATTCATTCATATATATATATATATATAAAAACCCGCCAATCCTTCAAAGCAAGAGTCATTCGCAAATCAGATGGCAAAGATAAGAGCGAATTCCCAGTCTATTATCATCAATCTTGTAGCAGTAGTAACATTGGTACGGGCACCAGGCGCAATAGCCATGGCAAGTGATGGTTCAAATGCTTTGCCGGTGAAAGACAATATATTTCCAGAGTTCATAAAGTGGCACGTGTACATAGTGAATGGTCTGAGCAACAACCAGAACTTGTTCACCAGATGCAAATCCCAAGAGGATGATCTGGGGACCCACAATCTGTCTGGGGGGTCCAATCTGACGTGGAGTTTCAGGACGGAGTTCTTCCACTCCACTTTATTCTGGTGCCACCTTAGAACAGACACAGGTGTTTCTGCTGAGTTTGAGGTTTTCTGGTACGATGACCGTCTCTTCCGGAAGTGTCAATGGAAGAACTGCATCTGGGTCGCTAAAGATCAGGGGATTTACCTCACGGATTTGTCTCAGAACCGTGATGAATTACGTTATACCTGGGAGGGACATTGAGGAATCTCAAAATTCTAAGTTGTTCAGTGAACCAGGGTGAAGATTTCTAGTTAAGCATGTAACGTTAGGAATAATAAACTTGTCTAGTTTATATGATTGTATAGGTCACTTCACTTCATTAGATAGCCTGTGTGTAGACTGCTCTATGTAATAACTAGATTTATTGCCACCTTTTCTTTTCTGGCAAATCTCTCCTGCCTTAATCGTTAGATTTTATTATCGTCTCTTATCAGCTTTAATTTCTGTTTTATCATTTGGGTATTATTTGTTCTCTAATCCTTATTGTTTGTCTTCGCTTGCACGTTAATATTATTGATATATATATAGTTGGCACACAAAAAAAGGATATATACATAAATATATAAAGATTCAAACTTTATAAATTCTTTTTTTTTAAAAAATTAAAAGTGTAAAAATTATAATAATTATCATGCTCTTTCCTTGCTGTTTCCCGTCTGACTAGACGGCAGACTTGAAAGGAACTTCGATTCGCTCGTTGGTCAAAAAGTACGAAATGTCTAGTTGCCAACCTTGAAGGCCACGATAATAAGGCCAAAATAAATTCAGCCTTCTTTTTTGCAGTTTTCCAGCCACTCAGTTGTATATTAGAATTCTCAAAGGCTCAGCTGAATACAGGCAGGAGAAATCTCAAGACGATGGATGAAGTGAAGCTGTTTGGAGCTTGGCCAAGTCCTTATGTTTACAGGATCATATGGGCTCTACAACTGAAGGGGGTAAAGTATGAATATGTGGAGGAGGATTTAGCCAACAAAAGCGATTTGCTGATGAAGTATAACCCAATTCACAAAAAGGTCCCAGTTCTGGTTCACCGGGGCAAGCCAATCTCAGAATCTATTGTTATTTTGGAGTATATAGAGGAAACATGGCCTCAACCACCCCTGCTTCCACAGGACCCTTATGACAGAGCCATGGCTAGATTCTGGATCAAGTCTGCAGAAGAAAAGGTAAGTTCCACAATCCATAGGTGAAGCTTGAAACCTCCAGACTTATCCCTTCCTCTTAAAATGTGCGATCAATGACACAAAGCTTTGTGATTGCAGAGCTCCGCATTCGTGTCATTCTATGTGGCTCAAGGAGAAGAGTTTGAGAAAGCAGCAAAAGAAGCCAAACAAGCATTGAAGATATTAGAGGAACAAGCCATTGGGGAGAGTAAATATTTTGCTGGCAATGAGATTGGATTAATAGATCTAGTCATAGGATGGATAGCTCTGTCATTTGGAGAAATTGAGGAAGCTGTTGGTGTTAAAGTGATGAATGCCCGCGATTTCCCTCGTTTGCTTGCATGGATTCAGAACTTCAGAGCGCACCCAGCAATCAAAGCAAGCCTTCCAAACCATGATGAATTGCTTGCTTATTACAAGCAAAAGAGGGAAATCATTCTTGCATCCAAAACAGCATAAGTAACAGTGATTTGTGATCATATAATTTATCTTGAATGTCTTATGATGTGCACATACTACTTTTTCTAGCTAGAAACACATTACACATGTGTGATTCTCTCTATGTGTGGTCAGTAGTAATAAAAGAAGCAGCTATGTATAACATGAATAAGAAAACTACAATTACATGTTAACCAATTTTATGCAGTCAGAGGAATCAAAGTTTAGCAATTATCTGGTAACAACTTTTATATTTTCCCCCTTTCATATTTGCCGGTGTTAATTTCATAACAAAGAAGCAAAAGAAAACACCACGCTGATGAGCATCAACATAGGAATTAAAGATAAAGACTGAGAAGGACCAATGCCCCCAGCTAAAGAAGAGGAATATATATTTATTCGGTTAGAAGTTTTCTACCGCAAGCAACCCTTTAGCTGCAAAACCTTAATTTGGGGAGTATAGGCTATCAGTATTCAAAAATAAATTTCAAGTTTCAACTAAAGTATATGACAGACATTGGGGGGGGGGGGGTTGTACCAAATAGGCCAACAAAAAAGAGATTAGTACTGGATCAGAATCCGCTTCCGTGCACAGGCTTAGCTCTCTTTTTTAGCATTAGCTTCTGACAGCAAAGGTTCAAGTTCTCCTTTACGGTACAACTTCACTGTATCTGCACACAAAATGCTAAATATTGGAAACTAAAAATGACAAAAATTATCTAAGTTAATCTATGAAGACAAGCAGTTTTAGGCACTTTGATACAGATGCAGTATTAGCCCATGGGCATATAATTAAACCAAATAATTGGTGCCATCATTTTGGAAATCTCGTCCCATGTCCCTAATTCGCACTTCCCTTTTTAATTCTTGGGGTAGAGGGGTTCCCATGCCAACCTAAACTAAATTACTAGAAAAGGAAAATTGATTGATGTTTTGAACTGAAGAGACATTCTCTAAAATAATACTGATATACCTGTACAGCCGCCGATATGTTTGCCACCTGCAATGGACAAGAGTACCACTTTTAAGTTCAAGTCATATCAGTTGTTCTACCCAAATAAAAACATCTAAAGTAGATCTGTGATTTGTAATGTAACCTGCTCTCATTTGCTCGAGAAATCAAGGACGATAATACTTCAATTTAAGCATTCAATAACTCATTCAAGGCACATACAGAATTAAACTAGTCTATAATTCTGACTTTGTTACGACTGTAAGGTTTATTTATCAGGGGCAGAATGGGACATCTCTTTTTCTAATATCCCTGTAGATTTTTGTTCAGGAATGTAAATTGCTGTATGTGTATTTTTGTGTCAGATTATTTTGCCTTTCACTATTTCTGTGATTAGCTTTCTGTTGGCACTCTGATTTATCTTACTGCACTAAGTATCAGTTTCTCAGTTGAACAGATATCCCCTTTTCTCTCTTCTTCTTTTGGCAAAAAACACCTAAAGTCTCAAGTTTTTGGGGAAAAATATAGACTCTTAGTTTCATAAGTACTTTTATACTCATCTGGTCCTAAATACAATACCCATTTAGTGTAGAGTCATACGCACATGCAAAAGCCAAATTCATTGTCCTTAGCTTGTAAGTGTGTTTTTCAAAATAACCTGTATGTCATATCATATGGTTTAACAAGCCATGCCCCATCCCTAAAAAGAAAAAACACATTTGCTAGACACAAAATAGAGGAACAGAGAATTCTGCAGAAGTTTTGGAAAGATCTAAAAAAAATTTTATAACCTTTTGCCCTTTTTGACCAACAGTGCTTGATAACCTAAAGACATGTCATAATTGACAAATAAAACTAGGAAATGAGACTGGAAGACATCAAAAAGCGGATAACTGTATGCTCTTATATCAGAATATCTAGTATCAATACCTGCCTCCCTGGGTCCAAATCAGAATTAATAGAGAGGAGAGAATAACTTATCAGTTATCACCGCCTCCTTAACTAAAGCTTTGTTTCTTATCAAATTCTAATTACTAATAAACTATCCTAATTACCAATGACACAGGCCAAATCCAAACACTTTCCATCTTTAACAAGCTTCCCAGCAATCTTTCAGAAGGGAGTCTAAACTCTAAAGTGTATGGATTATCAACAGAAAAAGAAATACTGTGTCAGCATCCCAGCCAGGCAGCTACGAAAAGAAACAGCAGATATGATAATGATAATAAAATAAACCTTCATCTAACATACTTTACTGCCTATGCATATTATTAAAGAACAATTATGTAATGAAACAGGTACGCACCAATAAAAACATTCGGTACAGTGTGTTGACCCGTAAGCCTCTCCAATACCTTCTGCAATTGTGGCCCTTGCGGACCTAGATATATACAAAATACAAAGACAAATGAACAGGTTATAGAGCAAACTTCATGAAGCACACAATAAAAGCGGTGCCTATCAAAGTATGTCACATGGAGTGATTTTCCCCTTATGTTCTTTTGACAAGGAACATTGAGGAAGGAGACAATGATGAGTTAAGGACATGCTTCTATTGCAGTCGAACATGTATGGCAGGCATATGCATGCAGAAGGGTGAAAAACAGTTCACTTATAATTGATGAAGGAACATAATAAGGATAGTAGGGGGGAAATATTAAGAGTTGCTGCAATATTTTTGCCATTCATCCATGCAAATAGTGTTCAAATAGTTTCTGTTTCCTGATGTCAATAGAAACCTGAGTTTAGTATGCAATTCATGAATGAAATCACAATAATATTGCGTATCGACCATGTAATTTATTTTATAATTTGATCAAGGTTCTGATACGCTTAGTCCATAAGCATTACTTAATCAGCACCAAGTCTTAATATTTAAAACAATGGTATGTAAACATCTAATTATCATTAAGAAGTTGTTGTTTGTGTGTCTGTGAGACTGCCAAAAATTAAGAAGTTTAGAACATCTCATATACAAGGAAGCCTAAAGGTACATGTTATCGGTAAGTATGAAAAAGGAATCGGCTGTCCATTTTCTTAAGAACCTCATGGACAGAAAGGCAGGCAGGTCTAAAAATTCGTGGGTTTAAATGTAAGTAAATTCTGGGGTTGCTCACATGCAGGAAAAAGCTCAAATAAGCTAGTTCATCGTCTGACAACCAGTAATGCATGGCCATGAATGTTGAAGACGTTTAGATTGTAAAGAAGCAATTTTTTTTTTTTTTATTGCTGCAACAATACACTCTGACAATGCACACTTCAGACACTTCTCACTCATGTTCAATCTCATTCATTGCGACTGCCGCCTATCTTTAAATTAATGCAACATTGTCTATACACTCTTGCTGTTCATTTTAATATGAGATGAATAACCCGTGGAAGTGATTAAATGCCTCCATGAGAAAAACCATACAAAACTCGTTACATAAACGCTGCAAAAACTAATCTGAGAATCTTCACGACCATACACTGATGATTCATTATCAATCAGGAAGTGATGAATAAATTACCCATTTCGTCCAATTCAATGACCAATGGCTGCACGCCGAGCTTTTTAAACAGCGATTTCACCTCTGAAGAATACCTTCATACAAATTTTAGCATGAATGAATAAGTCAGGATTTATCAAGTGATTCCAAATGCACAAAAGCGATCGAGGACAAAACAATACTAAATTCAGAAAAATCCAAAACAGATGTCAGATTAAAAAGAGTTGGAACTCACGAGCACCAAGTTTTGGAATAAACGACAACCGGGTTCTCATCAATAGTCTTCTTGATGCTCTCTTCAAGTCGAGAACCAAAAGAGGAAGCCATGGCATGAACTGAAACGGCCCTGTATCTTCCCGAGCCATTGCTGCTCAGATTAGTGCTTGTAGAGGTTTTAAGAGTGTGACCCTCTCTGATGGGAACGGAGCAAACGAAGAACTTGGAGATAGAAGATGATAGCCCACGAGTGGAATTGGAAGAAATTGATGATAGAGTGTTGAGACCAGTAATTGGCAATGCCATTATCCTCTTCTTTGATTGAGTCTCGTTTCCACAGATTTGTTGGAGATTTTCCTTGTTTTTTTCCTCCAGGCTTTGATATTTGGTAATGTTATACGACCTATGACCTATCAAATCTCCTCGAAGCTGGGGGATAATTAGTTTCTGCTGCCTCAAGCCTGAGCTGAAGGGACACTCACTCGTCCAAAGGCCGCAGCTTTACCTGAATTGCTCTGCTTCTTAATACCTAGTTAATTACGAATAACCTAGGCTGTAGCACCGCAATTTTCTGACTTGAAGTTCAAAGCTGAGTAATTAAATTATCAGCCTTGAATTAAAAATAAAACAAAATAGAAAAGCTGGCTCCAGGAGTTTTTTTTTTTTTTTTTTGGGACCAAGGTTGGCCCCAGGAGTTGAGATTTATACTAATTCAGTGAAGCTTCATTTTTTTTTTTTGGTGACATACGCATTTTGATTTTTGCATGAACATGGCCTTGTAGTTAGTTTGAAGATCAACACGTGCTACTCATGGGGTATTTGAATAGAAACTAAACTATAATTTTAAGAGTATTTTATAATTTACGAAGTAAATATGTAGAGGAATTTGTATCGTTTTGTGAAAAAGTGTTTATGAGAAGCACTTTTCAAGGTTGCCAAACATCCCTTCAGTCATCTAACCAGAACAGAAAACAATTTGTTTTTTCCCCTTTTTTTTTACTCTCCTTTTTTCCTCCGTTTCCCCTCTCGTTACAATTGATTATAATTTTAACAATTCATATTTGATCATTTTATATAAAAATATATGAATTTATTTAAATTGTTAAAATTTGATGTGAAAGTTTATAACTAAGGAAAATCTTTTTTAAAAAAACTACTTTATAAAGAAAATCATTATTTGCGTCTCTGGTGGGGCGGCCCAGTAGCCAAAAAAATAGCTTATAGGCATAATAACTGGCTTCCATGGTTCTGTTTATAGAGCAAAGAAAAAAAGTTTTTTTTCTTCTATTTAAAAACCACTTCACTAAATTTTTATTATGAATGTACTATATTATCTTTTATTTATTATAAGGTAGATAATTATTTTTTTTCAAAATTTGTATATATTAAATAGGGGTAAAATTAAAAAAGTTATTATATTTTAATGAAGATTTAATGTAGTTTAAGGTTTTTTTTTACTTGTGTGAAACATGTTAAAAGTGTCTTATAAATAGAATTAGATGAGTAGTTTGTAAATTTGCCACTGTTTAGGACAATTTTTAACAAATCTAACTTATAGGCTAAAAACTAGTTTTTTTAAATATGATTCCAGAAACATCTAAAAGTTACTCAGGACTTATGCAAAAATTAAAAAACATTTTGTCCTTAGGTTTATGTTTTGTTATGCTTTTCTTTACATATTCCTTGTGGTTCCCAATCTTTAGTTGTTATAAAAATAATTTTTAACATAGTTTTTATATTAATTTTTTTTATTTTTAATATTACTTTTTATCTTATATTTACACGAATTGTACGGAGAATATTATTTGGTTCACAAATTTTTCACATTACTATAATTTCTATTCATTAAATATAATTTCTTCCCATTATAATAATTTAAAATTATTATATTATGTAAATTCATATTTTTAATTATTAATAAAAATGATATTTATTTTGGGTCATTCTACATACTAAACCTACTTATCTAATTATAGTTCAAACAACTTTTCTACTTTACAAACTAATTTTTATAAAAACTAATCCAAACATATATTATATTATCTAATTTCACTTTTATTCAACTTAAGTTTTTTAAAAGTCATATTGAAAACAAGTTTTTTTTTTTTTATTAAATCGAATGGACCCTGATATCAAGATGGGCAACTGGGCATTGTTTTGCTCTGGGTTTTAATTTCCAAATGCAAACTAAAAAATGAGAAGAAGCCCAAGATAGATTCGACGAAGTATTGGGATCTAGAATAAAACCCATTGTCTGGACCCATCTCAATTGGATGGCCTGAAGAATGAATTAATTCCATTGCCCCATGTTTATTTTTTAAATGGGAAGAAAATAAGAATAACTAATAAATTGAATCTAACAGAATGGATTAGTCTCTGACTCTAACAACATAGCAAATTAGGGTTTGAATCTCCATTAATAGAGGTACTAGTGCCCAATAGTACCTCAAACAAGATCATGTCGAAACTAAAAAGCTCTCTTCCACCATTCTTTGTTAAAATTAACCTCACACAAGAATTAAACTTGCTTAAGACATCATGAATCAATAATGAACATATGTATAGTTTAAAATTCACAATGTTTGGCTCTAGAAGCACTGTCTTGCATGTTAGAATAATATCCCTACCTCTCTGGGCATCTTCTTAAAGTAGAACGATCATGAACTTACTTTCATGAACCAAGGAAGCTATCTCAATCATGCATAGCTGGCTGGTTTTGGATTCACTCTGCAACGGAACAACAAGTGCGTACTTAAAATCTCTCTCAGATTCAGGAAGTAGTGTAAGCACAAAAGGATGGGCTGAGCAGCACATCTTGTGTCTACCCAACATGCATGCATGCTCGCTCACGACACACTATCTTTGTTGCTTACAGTCCCCTTATAATAATAAAAGCTGTCTCCTTCCCCCTCTCTTCTCACAGTAAATCAGCTTTCTTTGTTCATATTATCATCTCATACCACTGTTACTAGAAACAGGGCCATGACATACATGGGAATATTATCGGTAATAGAGTTCAGTGGATTCATGTTAACGTTCTTTATTTTGAATCTATTTGTATCGCAATGCCATGATGGTCCTAGCTTAGCTAGTGTTAATCCTAGCCACCCACCAAAACTGAGCAGGGACAAACAGTACTAGAAAAGTACTAAATACTAATATAAGACTATAGTTTCTGACCCCATATATATATATATATATATAATGCAGCATTGCGTTCTTGCATCTTGCACACTTGGTGAAGAAACTGCTGTGTTTACCCCATAAAACTGTGTTCTTGGTTTTCGATTCTGGTAGCTAGGTCCACCACCACAAGTCCATTGTCGACATCACCATGTGAAGAGAGAAACAGAGCTCAGAATAAACATGCAGAACTAGCAGTTTGAGGAAGCAAAAGAATAATGGATTGGGCCCCTTGTGGTGAATAAAGGTAGAATAGAGGCCATCTCCCATGTAGTGTCTGTTTTTAACAGTCACTGATGTCTCTCCAATTACAGGAGAATGAGCTAGATGAGAGGAGAAAGATGACAAATTGAAAGAAGATTGAATCAATTTCTCAGTCACTTGAGGTTGAATGCTCAACTTAGTTGGGCCTATCCCAATGGAAAACTATTTTTTTAATCAGCTTTTGAATCACTTCCTATGGGCACCTCATATGGGCTGTTTCAATTTCCTGCTTAAGAATGTAAACAAGGCCTAGCATTACCACGCTAAAAACATGTTTTGTGGGGACAAGTGCTTCTGGATATATTTATGAAATTCTTTTAAAAAAATAAATTATTAATTTTAGTCCTGAGAATGCCTTCATGTTGGTTCATATGATTGAAACAGTTGCTTGGGGGGAAAAATGACTGAAATAGTTAAAAAAGACTATTATACGAAATTGTTTTAAGACTCAAGTACTACCTTGAGTCCTTATGACCAAAGTAATGATTTTGTCTTTTTTTAAAAAGGGGGTCCAATTTTCAATCACACCTCGTTAGCTGCTAAAAAAGGTCATTCATGGTGGCCAGCCCAGTTTGTTTCAAATAAGTTTGGCCGAAAAGAAATCTGACAGAGTTAATGAGAAGTTTGGTTTTGAAGATTCACATGCGGTTAATTCTGTAACATTCTAATCTCTGACTAAATCCGGAGTTGTTCATATCACGAGAGAGGAATAAGACATTGTCATTGGATAATGGAGTACATGCTGAGAATGCAGAGAAGCAGGTTCAAAATTAGGGCCGTATTATTCCTAACCTCTTTGTCTTAGTTACCCTATAACTCTTTAGGTCTTTGATAATCTCCTTAGGGGCAAATATAATAATATGACATGCATTGCATTGGGTCCATTCATTACGTACTTTCCCTTCTTATATTTTTTACTGTTCATTATTGAATTTGATTTTCTTTGACAAGTACTCATTCTGTTCAGAGCTGGTAAAATACAGTTCATTTACCATAGCTACGCCTTCATGACCTATTATTCCAACTGAGCATGGTTTTTGGCCTCACCATCCAACGACCTTTTTCCCCCAATTATTATAGATCATAGATTATTTTGGTTTGATGATGAAAGCAACTTATCTTCTTTCAAACATATCAGTAAAATTTAAATCATACCTGGATATTTTTAAGTTGGGAAGTACAGAATACTCAATCATTTAGTCCAAGGAATCCCCATTAACTAGTTATATTTATATTTCTTAAACAGGCATGGAACCATGCTCAGATAATGATTAGCAGTCTTTAAGTTGCATTAACTAGGTTAAGGTTAGGAATAATACTTTACAGAAATTAATGATTTGACTTTAGCTTTTGGCATGTGCAGAGCAATAGTGATTCTTTGTGACCTTACTATTTTTTTTTTTTTCAAATTTTTTTTGGTGGGTCAAAGCAAAGATCCATTTTTTTAAAAAGGCAATAAAATATTGCTTTCAAGCATCTTAGAATTGCCTCTTGAAGAAAGAGAGAGAAAAAGAGATGAAAGAGTGTGCGTTATGGAGTTGAGCTGCATTCTGTCTTATGGGTCCTACCCATCTGATGTTTG